ACAAGGGAGAGGTCAGAACCAGCCCCAGCACCCACCAACTCTGTGGGACACCATAGCCAAGCAGGGTCCTGCTGTGCCACCCGGCCACCTCCTCACCTTTATCTGCGTCTGGTTGCTCTGTGTTGAAGATACGTAGATGTATTTGAAAAAGTAGAAGCCATGCTTGGCATTGCAGCCTTTCAGCAGTATCTGGTGGGGAAGAAAATAAGCAAACCCCATGATTTTCTTACTGAGGAACTTCCCTTGCTGTGCTTGGCACTGCAGCAGGGTCCCACCAGCACCCACTGCAGCCCCAGGGTGGGCAGGAGCTCCCACCACCTCATGGCCTCCAGTGTGGGCAGAATGTGTGTGCTCACCTCCTGGGCTTCAGGGTTTTTTTGCAAAGTAGCTTATGGCTTGAATTAACAACCTGGTTGATGGTCCCATCAGACATGAGTGATGGGATCAGTGGTGACTGAAGCACTGGAAGGAGAGCAGCTGGCTTCCAATAGGCAAAAACCAGGCATTTCCATCCATGTTATTCATCTGAATTTTGCTACTGATGCATTTTACACCAATGCACATTGGAAAAAACCCCCCCAAAAAACCCATAGCAGCTGGAGCTGTGACTTTGACAACATCACCTGTGGGTACACCAAGCATTTGTGCTCTGGGGCTGGGCCTCTGGGTCTTTTTTTCTGCAGCTCACTAGGGCTGCACTCCAAAAGTGACCTTTTATCCCTGCCCCCCTGGTGCAGGGCACCCCATGGGGGTCCAGGTGGGGCAGAGGGGGACATACCCGGTGCTGTCCCATGCAGTTCCCAGTAGCTCTTCCAGGCAGCGGCTGTGGCACCTGTAGGCAGCAAAATACAAGGAAGAGCCGAGGTGTTAAACGTTGCTCCATGTCCAGGCAGCTCAACACCTACTGCCAGCCCTGCCCAGTGCGATGGGCACACCATGGTGTCCACAGAAGGGTGGAAAAACTGTCTTGCTGAGTTAATAAATGCCTGGGTACTACCTGGTGTGCCTGCTTAGAACCAGTAATAGTAGGAAAAGTCAAAACTCCATTTCCAGAGTCTGAAAAATACTGTGGATTCTGCTCCAGCGTGCTGGCTTTTCATGGGACAGTGCATGCTGCTTCTAATGGGTTATTGTAAGTCTGCAAATACCCTTTGACTGGATTCTGCTGGAGAGATTTTTATGACAGAGCAGTTTGAACACATGGCATCGCTGCTCACACCACACTGCTCCAACTCACAGCTGGGATCTGACTGCTACGGGAACCTGGAGCTGCTTAACTGGTGGTGATTCCCAGTGTTTACTGGGCAACCGAGCAGCAACCCCTCTGCCCTGACAGCCAGGTTTCTGTACATGCTTGCAAGCTTCTGGCTTCCCCTGATTATCCCACATCTTTTTGGGATGTATTGGTCAGGGCATCCCTCAGAGATGGGGGACCTAGAGGTGGGAGCATCCTGTGAGCCCCACCAAGCCATTTCAGGATGTTCCCTATGTGCTGAGACAGAGGGAAGCTCTGTCTGCTCTTGGCAAATCAGCCACTGAAGCACCCCAAGCCCAGCTGAAAGGGGCAGAAACACACCCCAGAGGATTAAATATTCCCAAATAATTCCATTGTTAGTGAACAACGTCAGAGGCTGCGTTAAGACGCAGCAGAGTATTAACCGGCTCTTTTCTGTGCCGCTATCTGGAAAGCAAATCTGAGCTGATTTATTGCCTTCCCTCCTGCTCCCCTTGATGAGACCTGGGTGTGCCAGCTTGCCTTGAAGGACTAAAGAACACATGGCAAGATCTGGCTTCCCTCCTCCTGACCCTGCAGGAAAAGCAAGCCTTCCCTTGGAGCAGATTTGCACTCTAGCTCTGTATTTAATTTGCCCTAACTCCTAAATTAAAGGGATGTGCTCAGGCACCACAGTGCTCATAGATATATTTCCTCTCTGCGCCAGCAGCACCTCAAATCCCCACCCCACCCCAACCCCAGAAGAGCTGTATGCAAGTACAACTCATGTTTTTTCTGCTGCTGAAAGCGTGCTGGGGCACACGGGGTGGTACACCCCTGGCTTTTGGTGGCATGCTGGGAAGCTGGGCAGAGCCATACTCACAGGAGTGGAGAGAACCGTGCTGAGCAGGCACAGGCACACGAGGGCTGTTTGCATCTTGGGCAGCTCCTGGGAGCACAAAGCGAAGTGTCACTGGACTTTATCTTCCTAGGACACACGGTCCCCAACAGTCATAGAATCATCAAATGGTTTGGGTTGGAAAGGACCTTAAAGATCATCCAGTCCCAACCCCCCTGCCAGCAGCAGGGACACCTTCCACTAGACCA